CCACAAAATAACACAAAGATTTACAATATTTGCAAAAATTGTTGCCAGGCTAGACTCCTAAGTTGTCATCTATATCGTGATGATGATAGTCTTATATGTTAATCTCTCAAGACTACGGCTTATGTTATTCCACATTTTGTCATTATTTCACAATAATGAATTCCTTAATTGCTTTATCAAATAAATCACATAAAGGCTGACTATTTGTTGATGGATTGCTATTTCACAATTGTTCCTAATTTTCAAATATCACTAATGCAGTTATACTTCAATATTGATTGTACAATTTTATGTTTGATACATCACGTAACTATGAAGAGAGTTTTTTGCAACAAAGTGAGGTACCCGGTTGGGAGTTGGGACACAATGAAGTGATAACTAATTATGTAAAATAACAGTAAATGATATTATAAAAACAAAATTGATCTTAAAAATCAATATATTTCAATCTATATGCATAAAGTAGTTTTATTTATATTCTCATCGATATTTTACATCTTGACAACTAATCCTAAACAATTAAATTAACAGAAGACTTTACTTAGATTTGTTTATACCATTGAATGGTTAGAATAACTAACAAATCCGCTATTATCGATCACACTATCTATTATCTGCTATGATGATTGTCAAATAATTCTCTAATGTTTAGTGAGTACATGTTATAAATGACACTCTTTGTGGTTGTAAAGGTTTGATAATTTAATCGCTCCAATCTACTTTACCAATTATATTTAAAAAGTATAATTATGTAATTAATATTTTTCTTGGTATAACTAAATGAGACAACTATTAAAGACAAATTTTAAGGAGTATAAATTCTAAAGGGAAATGGTGTTTGTGCATGTTTTTTGTACACACCATTTTACACGCTGGTCGAATTGTCTGTGCACAGATAATTTTTTTCGTTTTATGAAGAAATTATTTTTCGCCTCGACAAATCTTTGTTTGTCACAGAAAAAATTGTTAATACATATAATGCACTTGGATTGTTTTCTATCCCAGACCATACTTGAATACTTATAAAATACACATAAATCATGTTTATATCAGATAAGAATGAATGAGACCAGAAAATTCTAGTCCGGACTACCTTTGCTAATGGACAGTTTTCTAAACGAAAAGTGAAAAGTACGAGTTTGGCCATGATAATGATTTAGAAACGCGACAAATAGCCCGTTTGGTAACACTGAAATCGAGAGGATCAGCTTATTGTGCTGAAATATATGAAGTTTGGCTGAAGTGACTGTATTGGCTGATTCTGCTGATTTATAAAAAAATTATATTTAAAATATACTCAGTTCGTCCCACTAATATTGTCTCATACCAAATTTGGTAAAGTTTGTGTGTCTCTAAATCATTCTTACTTTATTCTTACTTTATCAATTCAATATCAACCACATAAACCACTTTTTATTAATTTGTGTGTCACTCCCTCTTGTCTCATTGTTAGCGGGACGGAGAGAGTATTTCATTAATAAAATAAAATAAAATTATATGAAAAACAGTTAAAATGATCATTTATAGTAACTTCAACCAATACAACCAGAAAAGTAACTACAACCTTACTTTTTCTAATTATAATACAATTCAACGCGTGAAATCAATAATTACATATTTGGTTAAAAAGTTGGCTGATAAGCCTGATAAGCCGAAAAACAGAATCACTTAACAGACTCAAAGTGGTTTTCTTTGAGCAGCGATGCTTTTTAACACAGTTGAATTCTCGATTAAAAAAAACTTTGAATTTCTGGTGCAGCCATTGAACAGTGCCTGTAAATCGGAAAAGTGCAGTCATGTAAACCGGAATGACGGGTGCTCTGTCGAGGGTTTCCCTCTTCAAAGAAGAAATCCATTTAAATGGTTTATTTAGACTGCGACGTTGCCCACTCGATTTTCAGTTGTGGCATCTCAATGCTTCGTTTGACAAAAAATGGGAACAAAGAACTGGGAATGTTTTGGAGAGGCTTTGGCAGGTCACCGACAAGCCATCGAAGTTGATTATGAGTGTCGAGTTGAAGCTGTAGCTGGTGGTGAAATCTAATAGGCGGCGATGATAGGTACTTGCAGAAGGCTAGGAGTAGGATGCCGCCTCGATCCATGAGTGACAAGGGGACCTATGTCTTCGTGTGCACTACTGTGCGCACCTATTCCGTGACCTTTTTCTCTTGGAGTGGATGTGTGATCATGCGCTTGATTCTTGGTTTTATACAATTTCCTTGGTTAAAAAAAGTTATGTCTGAACTGTTTGGATCGGCTGATTTTATGCTAATTTATGAAGAAGAAAAAATGTAAAATATTTTACATTAATAAAATAAAGAAAAGTTATACGAAAAATAACTAAAATGATCTTCTAAGTAACTTCAACCAATACAGTCAGAAAAGTAACTTCAATATTACATTTTCTTGTTTATTACACAATTCAGCGCACAAAATCAAAAGTTATGCGTTTGGTGAAAAAGTTAGTTGACAAGTCTGATAAGCCAAAAACATGGTCACCTAATAGGCCCTGTGGTAGTAATACACTAATACTCATACACATACCTTGTACATGAGGAATATATCATAAATAATTTCATTGTGTAAACTTGTGAAAATGAAACAAAGCATAGAAACAGTATTATTAAGGGTGAGATGAAAACATTATAGTGATAGTGCAAAATTAATGTTACATGATAACGAAAGAATAATATGGAAAAATATTTAAAGGAAGTGAAAGATGATAAAGATTAAAACACACGTAATGGCAATGCCTATTAAATTTTGTTGTTGTTGAGTGGTTATGATTTAAAAATTAAAACATTCCGATATAAAAATAAATAATGTTTGAATTTCAATTAAATGTTGTTACTTTAAACCTATGTTTTATTTTGGACTGTTTTTAGTCCCAGATCGGACCAGACAAGACTTTAACAGACTAGACCAGACTTAAACAGATCAGACAAGATCAGATTAGACTTGGACAATTATAAAATACACAAAGACCTGACATTTATGAGACCAGACTAGACCAGTTCAGAACAGACCAGACCAACAAATTTCAATCCAAAAGAAAGCATCCTTACTATCATTAATGAATCATGTCTTTCTAAATCACTCATGTGTCCCACGTCTTAGATGATAGTTACAGTCATTTGCATATTCAAACACACACACACATAGTCATATATTGATTAGGAAAACAGATATGCTTTAGTAATATTAATGTACACTTTCAAGCCCGTGTGATGCACGGGCAGTATCTAATTTAGCTAATTTGAAATTTAATTTCTATCGGATCACATGTAATGTGATTTAAAAGAAAAATAAACTTAGTCTAATATAGAGTCTGTTTGATAATACTAAAGTAAATAGAATTAACTTATTTTGCTGAAATTGATTGAATTCTGGTTAAATAGGTGGAATCTTCTGAATCATGAAAAATATATGTGAAATATATTCCATTTGTGAAACAAAGAAAAAGATATATGAAAACGAGTTAAATTGGTCTTCTACATAAGCATCTCAAGTAAACATAATTGTTATGAATCCAATAAAAAAATCTATATTTCTTAATTGTTAGATCTTACGGTTTACTCATTAATAAGAACGTTTTTAATTGAATTAAAATTTCAAGTTTGATTTTGTATGAATTAATATGGTCTATTAGATGTCTGTTTTTTATGTGACTTATTGTTATAATTATTAAAGTTTGATCTGATCTGATTTAATCTAGAACTGAAATCAATCCAATTAAAAACATTCTATTAAAATAAAAGTAGAAATTCGTAAACCTATAAAGATTTTCTAATTTGGATTAGGAATCTATTTCAAAAGTGAAGGCATATTTGAATTTTAGGTGTAAAATAAAGAAACAACCAAAAAAATTTACTTATTTGGTTAAGCTAAACAAATTTACTTGTGAAAATATATATATACTTTATGTTGGTTATAATTTTTAATTACATTTTAATTATTTACTTATTTGAAGCTTACTAATTTATTAATAGGTGTCAAATTAATAAGTAAACTAATTTTCATATTTGTTTCTATTTAATTTGGTGTAGTAAACTAATATAAATTAGTTTATATATCAATAGAATTTCACTTTGATAAACAAAAATTATTTTACTTATTTGAAGCTTACCAAATTAATTAAGGTGGATTTATAAGGATTTTTGTTTCCATATCAATATGCAATCAGAAATAGAATCTAATAAAAACAAAAGGTATAAAAATAAGTAAATAATTGTTATATATAATGACATGGCACGATTATGTGGTGCTTTGTATGCTCTTAAAAAGTTCCTCTTTTATATATATATATTGATTTTTTCCAAGATTAATTTCTGTCTCATGTTTGCAACTATGATGACTCTATTTTTTAATTGAAATGCAAACGTAATTTTTTATTCTTCGGTTTATCAGTGTTTTACCATCTTATATTTTTGAGAAAATTCTCAAAGTATGAGTAAAAATGTTTGAGAATTCCAAAATAGGGTTGTCATATTTTTTTATTGCCTAAGTAGGTTTAATTACTGCTAAACTTAGACAATAGAGCCATGTTTATAGTTTGATACTGCCAAAACATGACATTAATTATTCCTATTTAGCGAATAAAAACGTGATAGTCCCATTTTGAAATATACAAACATTTTTAGTCTCATTTAGAGTAATTTCCCTGATTTTTTATAGTACATGGTAATATATTATGTGCTCACTTTAATACTATGAATGTGTACACATTTCTCATTCGGTGAGTTGCTTAAGTTGGCCCAGTTTTATTCAGTGAATAGAATCAATAGATGCACTCAATAATATAGTGTATATTTGAATTGAATGGTGAAAATTGTGGCGTTATATAAGCATCAACGACACTTTAATGGTGTTTAATTTATTTTAAGTAACGTGTATTTCCTCCTTAATGAGTAAGATCTTTTCCATATTTCTTTTAATTTTTTGTTCACTTTTTTTATTATAAATAGGTAATTGCAGCTCACAATGGTACATAGACTTTTCTGATTTCAAACACACAATACTTTCTTCACCCTAAGTTCATTTACGTCACTACATCCTCAGGGAATATGGCTTCATGCAATCAAATTATCTTCTTCACTTCCCTCATTGTATTTGGTATGTGCTATATAGTATATATCATATATCTAGTTGAAATGTTGTATTCATTTTATCCTTTATACTCCTTTGGAATTGATACTTGAAAACTCCATTTTCAGTATAAAGTTTTTGGGATTCTATTTAAAATATGAATGATGTTCGGAGTTTTTTTTCTTCTAGAACATAATGTTGTTGAATCTCATGACTCGTTTCAACTTTCATGGTTCCCAACTATATACATGTGCAAGTATTTTTACAATTTAGCTGTTATTTACTCCTGATATTTACACCGTACCTTTTAATTATCATTATCTGTTAAATTAATTTATTTTTTCTAATTTTCAGTAAGATTACATTTGGCCTCCTTAATATGAATTGCTAACCCAATTTTCAATTATCATCGTCGTCATCATTATTTTGAATTTATTATCCTTTTTATTGTTGTTGTTATTATCCTCATCCTCATAATATGGCAGGTATTCTATTCATGAGGAATAATGTTGAAAAAGTTGAGGCTGCAGACATCTTCTGCACACAAGAATGCAACCCTGAAGCGTTCTATATGCTATGCCCACAAAATAACACAAAGATTTACAATATTTGCAAAAATTGTTGCCAGGCTAGACTCCTAAGTTGTCATCTATATCGTGATGATGATAGTCTTATATGTTAATCTCTCAAGACTACGGCTTATGTTATTCCACATTTTGTCATTATTTCACAATAATGAATTCCTTAATTGCTTTGTCAAAAAAAGCATATAAAGGCTGACTATTTGTTGATGGATTGCTATTTCACAATTGTTCCTAATTTTCAAATATCACTAATGCAGTTATACTTCAATATTTATTGTACAATTTTATGTTTGATACATCACGTAACTATAAAGAGAGTTTTTTGCAACAAAGTGAGGTACCCGGTTGGGAGTTGGGACACAATGAAGTGATAATTAATTATGTAAAATAACAGTAAATGATATTATAAAAAAAATTGATCTTAAAAATCAATATATTTCAATCTATATGCATAAAGTAGTTTTATTTATATTCTCATCGATATTTTACATCTTGACAACTAATCCTAAACAATTAAATTAATAGAAGACTTTACTTAGAATTGTTTATACCATTGAATGGTTAGAATAACTAACAAATCCGCTATTATCGATCACACTATCTATTATCAGCTACGATGATTGTCAAATAATTCTCTAATGTTTAGTGAGTACATGTTATAAATGACACTCTCTGTGCTTGTAAAGGTTTGATAATTTAATCGCTCCAATCTACTTTACCAATTATATTTAAAAAGTATAATTATGTAATTAATATTTTTCTTGGTATAACTAAATGAGACAACTATTAAAGACAAATTTTAAGGAGTATAAATTCTAAAGGGAAATGGTGTTTGTGCATGTTTTTCGTACACACCATTTTACACGCTGGTCGAATTGTCTGTGCACAGACAATTTTTTTCATTTTATGAAGAAATTGCTTTTCGCCTCGACAAATCTTTCTTTGTCACAGAAAAAATTGTTAATACATATAATGCACTTGGATTGTTTTCTATCACAGACCAGACTTGAATACTTATAAAATACACATAAATCATGTTTATATCAGATAAGAATGAATCAGACCAGAAAATTCTAGTCCGGACTACATTTGCTAATGGACATTTTTCTAAACGAAAAGTGAAAAGTACGAGTCTGGCCATGATAATGATTTAGAAACGCGACAAATAGCCCGATTGGTAACACTGAAATCGAGAGGATCAGCTGACTGTGCTGAAATTTATGAAGTTTGGCTGAAGTGAATGTATTGGCTGATTCTGCTGATTTATAAAAACAAATTAAAATATACTCGGTCCGTCCCACTAAGATTGTCTCATACCAAATTTGGTAAAGTTTGTGTGTCTCTAAATCATTCTTACTTTATTCTTACTTTATCAATTCAATATCAAACACATAAACCACTTTTTATTAATTTGTGTGTCACTCCCTCTTGTCTCATTGTTAGCGGGACGGAGGGAGTATTTCATTAATAAAATAAATAAAAAATTATATGAAAAATAGTTAAAATGATCATTTATAGTAACTTCAACCAATACAACCAGAAAAGTAACCACAACCTTACTTTTTCCTATTACAATACAATTCAGCGCGTGAAATCAATAGTTACATATTTGGTTAAAAAGTTGGTTGATAAGCCTGGTAAGCCGAAAAACAGAATTACCTAACGGACTCAAAGTGGTTTTCTTTGAGCAGCGATGCTGTTTAACACAGTTGAATTCTCGATTAAAAAAAAACTTTGAATTCCTGGTGCAGCCATTGAACAGTGCCTGTAAATCGGAGAAGTGCAGTCATGTAAACCGGAATGACGGGTGCTCTGTCGAGGGTTTCCCTCTTCAAAGAAGAAATCCATTTAAATGGTTTATTTAGACTGCGACGTTGCCCACTCGATTTTCAGTTGTGGCATCTCAATGCTTCGTTTGACAAAAAATGGGAACAAATTAAAGAACTGGGAATGTTTTGGAGAGGCTTTGGCAGGTCACCGACAAGCCATCAAAGTTGATTATGAGTGTCGAGTTGAAGCTGTAGCTGGTGGTGAAATCTAATAGGCGGCGATGATAGGTACTTGCAGAAGGCTAGGAGTAGGATGTCGCCTCGATCCATGAGTGACAAGGGGACCTATGTCTTCGTGTGCACTACTGTGCACACCTATTCCGTGACCTTTTTCTCTTGGAGTGGATGTGTGATCATGCGCTTGATTCTTGGTTTTATACAATTTCCTTGGTTAAAAAAAGTTATGTCTGAACTGTTTGGATCGGCTGATTTTATGCTAATTTATGAAGAAGAAAAAATGTAAAATATTTTACATTAATAAAATAAAGAAAAGTTATACGAAAAATAACTAAAATGATCCTCTAAGTAACTTCAACCAATACAGTCAGAAAAGTAACTTCAATATTACATTTTCTTGTTTATTACACAATTCAGCGCACAAAATCAAAAGTTATGCGTTTGGTGAAAAAGTTAGTTGACAAGTCTGATAAGCCAAAAACATGGTCACCTAATAGGCCCTGTGGTAGTAATACACTAATACTCATACACATACCTTGTACATGAGGAATATATCATAAATAATTTCATTGTGTAAACTTGTGAAAATGAAACAAAGCATAGAAACACTATTATTAAGGGTGAGATGAAAACATTATAGTGATAGTGCAAAATTAATGTTACATGATAACGAAAGAATAATATGGAAAAATATTTAAAGGAAGCGAAAGATGATAAAGATTAAAACACACGTAATGGGAACGCCTATTAAATTTTGTTGTTGTTGAGTGGTTATGATTTAAAAATTAAAACATTCTGATATAAAAATAAATAATGTTTGAATTTCAATTAAATGTTGTTACTTTAAACCTATGTTTTATTTTGGACTGTTTTTAGTCCCGGATCGGACCAGACAAGACTTTAAAAGACTAGACTAGACCAGACTTAAACAGATCAGACAAGATCAGATTAGACTTGGACAATTATAAAATACACAAAGACCTGACATTTATGAGACCAGACTAGACCAGTTCAGAACAGACCAGACCAGCAAATTTCAATCCAAAAGAAAGCATCCTTACTATCATTAATGAATCATGTCTTTCTAAATCACTCATGTGTCCCACGTCTTAGATGATAGTTACAGTCATTTGCATATTCAAACACACACACACACATTGTCATATATTGATTAGGAAAACAGATATGCTTTAGTAATATTAATGTACGCTTTCAAGCCCGTGTGATGCACGGGCAGTATCTAATTTAGCTAATTTGAAATTTAATTTCTATCGGATCACATGTAATGTGATTTAAAAGAAAAATAAACTTAGTCTAATATAGAGTCAGTTTGATAATACTAAAGTAAATAGAATTAACTTATTTTGCTTAAATTGATTGAATTCTGGTTAAATAGGTGGAATCTTCTGAATCATGAAAAATATATGTGAAATATATTCCATTTGTGAAACAAAGAAAAAGATATATGAAAAAGAGTTAAATTGGTCTTCTACATAAGCATCTCAAGTAAACATAATTGTTATGAATCCAATAAAAAAAATATATTTCTTAATTGTTAGATCTTACGGTTTACTCATTAATAAGAACGTTTTTAATTGAATTAAAATTTCAAGTTTGATTTGGTATGAATTAATATGGTATATTAGATGTCTGTTTTTTATGTGACTTATTGTTATAATTATTAAAATTTGATCTGATCTGATTTAATCTAGAACTGAAATCAATCCAATTAAAAACATTCTATTAAAATAAAAGTAGGAATTCGTAAACCTATAAAGATTTTCTAGTTTCGATTAGGAATCTATTTCAAAAGTGAAGGCATATTTGAATTTTAGGTGTAAAATAAAGAAACAACCAAAACAAATTACTTATTTGGCTAAGCTAAACAAATTTACTTGTGAAAATATATATATATATATATATATATATATATATACTTTATGTTGGTTATAATTTTTAATTTCATTTTAATTATTTACTTATTTGAAGCTTACTAATTTATTAAGAGGTGTCAAATTAATAAGTAAACTAATTTGCATATTTGTTTCTATTTAATTCGGTGTAGTAAACTAATATAAATTAGTTTACATATGAATAAACGTTATTAAAATTTCACTTTGATAAACAAAAATTATTTTACTTATTTGAAGCTTACCAAATTAATTAAGGTGGATTTATAAGGATTTTTGTTTCCATATCAATATGCAATCAGAAATAGAATCTAATAAAAACAAAAGGTATAAAAATAAGTAAATAATTGTTATATATAATGACATGGCAGGATTATGTGGTGCTTTGTATGCTCTTAAAAAGTTCCTCTTTTATATATATATTGATTTTTTCCAAGATTAATTTCTGTCTCATGTTTGCAACTATGATGACTCTATTTTTTAATTAGAATGCAAACGTAATTTTTTATTCTTCGGTTTATCAGTGT